GCTGAATGATTATTGCATTACGGAGGAAATCAAGATGGAAATCAAAAGATTCTTTGAACTAAATGACAAAGGAGACACAAGTTATCAAAATCTGTGGGACATGGCTAAAGCAGTCCTGAGAGGAAAATTTATATCCATAATGTCTACATACAAAAGAGAGAAAGATCACAAATAAACAATGTAATTAATCATCTCAAAGGACTGGAAAAGGATGAGCAAACAAACCCCAAAACCAGCAAAAGAAAAGAAATAACAAATATCAAAGCAGAACTAAATGAAATTGATAACAAAAAACCATACAGAAGATTAATAAAACAAAAGTTGGTTCTTTGAAAAAATAAACTTGACACTGGCTAGATTAACAAGAAGCAGAAAAGAAAGAACTCTAATAAGCTCCATCAGGAATGAAAAGGGAGAAATTACAACTGATGCCATGGAAATACAAAATATCATCTGTGAATACTATAAAAACTTATATGCACATACACTGGAAAATTTGGAGGAAATGGACAAATTCTTAGGTAAACACACAGCCTCTCTAGGCTCAATCAGGAAGAAAATAGAATTCCTGAACAGACCAATATCAAGTACCGAAATTCAAACAGCAATAAAAAAACCTACCTAAAAAGAAAAGTCCCAGACCAGGCGGTTTCACACTCCAATTTTACCAGACCTACAAAGAAGAACTGGGGCCTATCCTGCAGAAATTATTCCACAACATCGAGAAGGAAGGATTCCTCCCCAACACATTTTATGAAGCCAACATCACCCTGAATGATGAAAGGACATAACAAAAAAAGAAAACTACAGACCAATATCCCTTATGAATATAGATGCAAAAATTCTCAACAAAATCCTAGCAAACTGAATTCAGGTGCTTATCAAAAAAATAATCCATCAAGACCAAGTGGGCTTCATCCCAGAGATGCAGGGATGGTTCAACATACGCAAATGTAATTCACCACATAAATAGAAGCAAAAACAAAGACCATTTGATGCTCTCAATAGACACAGAAAAAGTATTCGACAAAATTCAACACCCTTTTATGATAAGAACACTTATTGACAAAATAGGCATAGACGGGACTTACCTAAAAATGATACAAGCCATGTATGACAAACCCACAGCCAACATCGTAATGAATGGGGAGAAATTGAAAGCATTCCCACTTAGAACTATAACCAGACAAGGTTTCCCTTTATCACCGCTTCTATTCAACATGGTGCTGGAAGTCCTAGCCAGAGCAATCAGACAAGAGAAAGAAATCAAGGGCCTCCAAATGGGGACAGAAGAGGTCAAACTATGGCTCTTTGGTGATGATATGGTCTTATATCTAGAAAACCCCAAAAATTCTGCCATGAGACTACTGGAATCGATACTGTTTTTTTTTTTTTTTAATTAAAGAAAATAGCAGTTCACTGAAGGATGTCAAGGTTCTATGGAGAGCCAAGGGTGGAATGCTTCTAATTGAGTGGAAAGTGTTTTGTTTGGAATGAGCAATTTACAACAGAGAGTCTAATACCTGGCCAGAGTTGCACAAAGATACTTTTAATGGACTTGTAGAATATTGCCTTGAGCACTTAATGAGAACCAGTTGGTGTAAAGTTTTGTTTATCTTGTTTTGATGGTTTTTTGCCAATATAGTAACTTTAATCTGTTGGTCTTTGGGGCAGAGAGTTCAGGGCTATCATAGATTTTTCTTTTAATGTGATTAACATCCCTTGTGGTAGCTACAATAAAGTGTACCCAAGAAGTTTTATGATAAAGTTTACTGAACATCTTAGTACCATATAGAGAAATATGATCCTTATGGGCCTCACAAGTCTGTAAAAGCCCCAGATGAGGCTAAATGTTAAGGCAGAAAAACCTAGATGTGAGAGAAAAACCTAGATATAAAAGCAGACTTAAAAACCCAAATGTAGAAGCAAACATAGTAGTGAGGCTTCTACTACAGTAATCAGTCTATGAGAGGATGAAGATGTAAACCATGCTTTGCCTTTTCCAAACTTCATATTTCTCGAACATTTTTTCTATTTTCATTTAAAAAACAACTCCCTTGTTGATCTCATTCTTTGAATGAACAATTCAGAAAATCTCCATCCCCTGTTCATCATGTCTTGAGTTTAGTTCCTACAGCATTTTAAAAAAATATTCCTTGTCAATAAAATTAAAGAAAATGCTAGATCCTGGGTATAGGACATTTCTTTTGTACCTAAGAAGTTGATGTTTTCAGGATGTCAATTTGATGTTAATACGTAGAATAGAAAAGAAGCTTGTACTCTGGGGGAATCTTACCGTAGTTATTGTGTGAGAGGATTAGGACTAACATCTGTCTTGTCTCTACCAAACATAATTCAGCCTCTGAAACCCTTTGTCTACTAATCTCCACTATCACTTTATTCATCGTTTATTGTCTCTGTTGGGCTCACCCCATTCTCTCTGAGTTTTCCTATTTCTGAATCAGCCACTTTGGTTTCCTGTATTGTGAATTTTATTTCACCTGTTTCTTTCCAGTTTTGAAGGTTATAAAATGTTAAATGCCATTGCCAGTTTCCCCTCCTGTTTGTATTGCAGCATATTTGTGTTTTCCACTTAAACCAGGAGGATAAAGAAAATGTATACTTGAATTCAGTTCATACCAGGAAACTGAGCCTAAAACAGAAGAATTGAGTGTGTACTGGGGCATTTGTGTAAAAGTCCAATTCCATCAGCAACGTATTAAGATTCATAAGATGTGGTTCTTTTTCTCATTTCTAGAAAGGAAATGGAAAGTTGATGACCTGCTAGAGAGCAGCCAGGAAAATCAAGATGAACATTTTTGGGAGCATATATTCACCAACAAGAAGATAGTAAGTGTAGAAAGTGGTGATAGAGAAAGGAAAACTTTTGATCTCGGCACAGACCCTGTTTCTTCGAGAAATTTTCCCTATAAAATATGTGACTCATGTGAAACGAGTCTGAAAAATATTTCAGGCTTAATTATTAGTAAAAAGAACTGTTCCAGAAAGAAGCCTGATAAATTTAATGTATATGAGAAATTGCTCCTTGATATTAGGCATGAGAAAATTCCTGTTGGCGAGAAATCTTATAAATATGATCAAAAAGGGAATGTCCTTAATCATTGCCAGGCTCTCACTCAGCCAATTTTTGACCACCCGTTTCAGTATAATGAAAATGGGCAAAGCCTCCATGAGGAGGCAGCCTTTTTTACAAATAAGAGATCTCAGATAGGAGAGACACTCTGTAAATATAATGAATGTGGAAGAACCTTTGTTGAAAGTTTAAAGTTCAACTTGTCTCAGAGAGCTCATTTGGAAATGGAACCATATGAATGTGGTATTTGTGGGAAGTCCTTCTGTATGGATTTAAGATTTGGACATCAGAGAGCTCTTACAGGGGGCAATCCTTATGAATATAATGAATACGGGGAAATCTTCTGTGACAATTCAACTTTCATCATCCATCAGGGAGCTTACACAAAAAAGATTCCCCGTGAATATAAAGTGAGTGACAAAACTTGGGAAAAGTCTGCTCTCTTTAAACATCATATAGTGTACATGGGGAAAAAACCCTATGATTACAATGAAAATGGGAATAATTTTAGTAAGAAATCACATCTCACCCAACTTCGGAGAGCTCACTCAGGAGAAAAAACCTTTGAATGTAGTGAATGTGGGAAAACCTTCTGGGAGAAGTCAAACCTCACTCAACATCAGAGAACACACACAGGAGAGAAGCCCTATGAATGTACTGAATGTGGGAAAGCCTTTTGCCAGAAACCTCATCTTACCAACCATCAGCGAACGCATACAGGAGAAAAACCCTATGAATGTAAGCAGTGTGGAAAAACGTTCTGTGTGAAATCAAACCTCACTGAACACCAGAGAACACACACAGGAGAGAAACCCTACGAATGTAATGCATGTGGAAAATCCTTCTGCCACAGGTCAGCCCTAACTGTCCATCAAAGAACACACACAGGGGAGAAACCCTTTATATGTAATGAATGTGGAAAATCCTTCTGTGTGAAGTCAAACCTCATTGTACATCAAAGAACTCACACAGGAGAGAAACCCTATAAATGTAATGAATGTGGGAAAACCTTCTGTGAAAAATCAGCTCTCACTAAACATCAGAGAACTCACACAGGGGAGAAACCCTATGAGTGTGACGCATGTGGGAAGACCTTTAGTCAGAGGTCAGTACTCACCAAACATCAGAGAATTCACACAAGGGCAAAAGCTCTTTCCACATCCTGAATGTTCAGAAGCCTTCATACACCTGTCAAATTTGTTGTACAATTTTAAAAAATGAAATTAGAGAAAGCCAAAGAATGCCACA